GTGACACTCAGGAGTTAAAACCTAAGTATTTTATGTTCACTATCAAAAGTTCTATCGAACTCCACGATATGTTGCTGACAAAATTGAGTGTATCTTGCTATTCAGACTTAGTCTGCATCGACTTTGTCTAAGGCAGAAACTTTCAATTTTTACGCGAAAATAGGTAGTAATGGGTTATTTCATCCAGTATATGTTTATAACCGTAGATTATAACAAATAATGGCGAAAATATTGATTAGAGGTTCTGCTCCGAAAGTCAACTGGAACAGCCGGATTTTGATTCCGTCGGATAGAGCACACTTGATAGTGCAAGGTAATATCCAAGTGTCACATTAGACAGCGCATCACACTGAATAGTACATCTTTTAAAAAAAGAATGAACACTGAAGTAACAAGAGATAAAGGAAAAATACTAAAGGGCTCATTATCTCTGGTCCTCTGGCTTTACCACCTCCATATCGCACACCCATTCCTCCTTATACTTGTTCAAGTGTCTCGCGTCGAAGTACGTGTGTTTCCAAACCTAACTCTCGCTATTTATCGTAATTGGTCCCTGCCCTCACGTCTTTTTGTTTTCTTTATTCATTTTTTCAACCATATACGCCAGTAGACCACTCTACACTGTAAACTAGAAAATAACTTCATCATAAACGATATTCTGGGAAAGTCCATACAAATTCCTCGACGAATTTCTACTTTCTTGAAAATAAACTGTTGATATTCAAGTTTCGATTTTCTGCAGGAAATCAAATTGAATTTCTATTATTTAGAAAATCAAGCATTTTCTAAAAGTTTGAAATTCGACAGATGAATAATAAAAGTTTGAAAATGCTTTAGGTTTTTCAAAGTCGATTTTCTATAAAATAGAATTTCAAAAAATAGTTACAGTGTATTGTGTTCCATTCTCCGCGTTTCCTTCTCATAGTTAACAGCTTTATCTTCTGTGTTATCTCTTTCTTTGTCCGAAGTCAAGGTCACTACTTATTTGTATTACATGTTTTCAACGCTGAACATTCTCCCATAATACACAAAACCCAATTAGTCATTGGCAAAACTGTTTATTTCTTCCATCTTTCCTTTACAAAACCATGGCACTTATTATCAATCAGTAAATTCCTTATCATTCACGTTTACATATACTGATCAGTCACACGTAATTTAACATTAAACTTCTGACTCTTTCTGTCTCAGTTTTCAAGGTTCTTTGAATTTACTTTCTCTAAGGTCATACCAGTTTCTTTTCCTCTTCCTTTCTCTACTCATCAACTCTATCGCATAATTGTTCACTTCATATTGTTATCCAGTTCTAACCGTTCATCGTCATTATCTTCTACATTATTTTACAAACACTTCACCTTTCGTTTACCCCGCAACAGTATCCTTCGTCACGCATTCAACGTTCACGCGATATTCTTCTCGATGCCAGAGCCAATTGCATGACGGTTCACCATCACATCCTCCATTTTCTTTATACCACGTCGTACACTCCACCACCACATCCTCGCGTCTCCGCAGCCACTACACCTCACCGATCATCGTACCCTACGCCTGAACTCATCTCCCTCGATTAAAACATTAATTACATCATTCCGCGAATATTTTATTATTGTTGTTGTTTTTTTGTTGTTTGGTTATTGTTTGTTGTTGTTGTTTTTCCCCGTGTATATCGTCTGGCTTTTACGATTAATTTTTTCATCTGAGTTTTTCCGGTTTCCTTTCTTTTTCTTTGTCATATCTTCGATTTCTTTTGTTGTTGGTCCTTCTCCTCCTTTTCTATATCGCATTCTAATCTTGTACTGTAGTTGGTTTCCTTTTAATTCTCTTTTTTGTTTTTTTTTACTCCGCAGTATTCGTGTACGGGTACTCGGATCACGATGGTGTGTGTGTGTGTAAGGGCTGATCGCCATTACATGGTTCTCCATGCTTGATCTTATCACAGTTTCTAGAAATTCGTAAAACTTCGTAGTTTCTCGTGTTTTAGTGAGAGAGATAATAGAAGAAAGAAATTATTCATTATGTATTAATTTAATACAAGGCGTTTCCGGGGAACAAAACGAAAAACAAGTCATAATTGAAAGTAAATTTCCATTCTTTTATCATTCTTGTCAATTTTCAACCTCAGATTCAGATCTCGTCTTGTTAACTTTTAACCTCAAGTTAACATCTCTCTCTGATTCTTCTCAACTTTCAAATTCAAATTCACATCTCTTCTCTTCTTCTTCTGTCATATACAGGGAAGGAGAAGCTTTAATATTCTATTTAAAGAATTTATATAAATTAAATTTTATACTTAATTTTTATTTAATACTTTATAATTTAATATTTGCGTTTGTAATACTTCTTTTCTTTCTTCTCCCTTACATCAGCATCTCAGTACGTTAGATTCCACCACATTCTTCTCCAAACAACACCGAAGAATATCACCTATTCAATTAATTGAACTTTAACATTAAACTTCAGATTGTTCAGACAACTTTTTGTATACGACTTTTATCATTAAACTAGTAATAATTGTTGCTGCTGGTAGAATAGAATTGGGTGTTGTTTTGTAAAGCTGTTAGTAGCGCCCAATTAGCGCCACAGGGGGAGGGAGGATATGACGACTCTTCGTCATAACCTCTTCTTCCAGTATGTACATTTGTCGGTAGGGCTGCTCTCTTCTGTTTCGTTCTCTCCCTTGTCTGTTTTTGTTCTTTCCTGGCTTTGTTCTTTTGCTGTTCTTATCTTTTGTGCATGCAGTAGTAAATATATAGACATTAGTATTTTTCTTTTGTCAGGGTTAGTTTTTGTAGTTTGTGATAAAGAGTAGTCGAATAAAAGAGTGATACTACATATCTTAACGCACGTATACAATCAACTCAAGGACTTATAATTAGAGGAAGTATAAGTCTCTCATACAGTCCTTAGTTCAATCTTCCTCTGTTTAAATTATTTTATGTAATTTTAATTAATTTAATTAATGCTTGTATCCACTGAGGAAGACTGAACTATCAGTCGAAACGTTTGGAATAAATAAAGTTAGTATGAAGAAAAGCACTTAATTAGAATATAAAAGATTAGAAATCAATGTTTAAAAAAGCAATGTTCGAGAGTATGATAGTCACTGTAGTGGCCAGAGAAACAATGCAGACAGGACACTTTTCTGAAAAAGCTTATCTCCCTATTTTTGTTGCTATAGATGTCTTGACTAGGTATCAGGATAATTCTGTGTCTTACAACAGTCACGATGCATTTCGTTGCCTTGAATGTGGCTACATGATTGTCTTACTGCTGAAAGCACTGGCCACATTTTTACCTTTATACGTCAAACGTGACACATCACCCTTATCTCAGAACGCAAAACTGAGTTTCACTTGTATTGAGTAATAACAACAGATAAAAAAACCTTTCATTAATATATAAAGAAACGCTGTTTCATCATCAAAACATCATAAATAATATCGACAAAAACATATTGCTTCTAATTGCTCTTTTTTTCAGCTAGTAAGGAAATGACTACGAACGGCGATTCGACATACTACAGAGACATGCAGCACGACTTATCAGATCGATTGTTGAACACTTATGGCAACCATGGATGTTTGAAGCAAGCACTGGATGGTAAGTCGATTCTGTGTTTCGCAACCGAATCCATTGTGACTTGTGCGAACTGAAGCGATTTCTGATTAGTTGATCTCAATATGCTGAGAATAGGGGAGAGCGAGATGACATCCATGGTCATGAGCATAGTAAAATGCGGTAACAGCTAATTAAACAGCCTTATTACATCAAGAGGAGAGAACCATGCCAAATAGTCGAAAACACCATAAACCCTAGAGATCGATTCTTATATAAGAATCTTACCAGAAACCTATAGGTCTCTTATCAGTATCTTATAAGATTCTTATAAGAATCTTAAAGAATCTTATCAGGTTCTTATATAAGATTGTTTAAGATTTCCCATCGACAGTCGTAAGTGTCTTATAAGAATCAGATAAGATTTCCACACGAGGTTCATAAAAAGATAAATTGCACTTAACGAGGACCGAACTCGTAATCTTCCATTCAGCTGCCCGATCTTAACCATTAGGCTATAAGTGCTTACTCTGTTTATGTTATTATATCAAGTCATTTTAGATAGGAATGTAAGTTACGCTTAAAATATTGCCCGATTAACTAGTTAATACATCCTAGTAAAAGTTTTATATTTTTAAAAATAACAGTTCTGTGAATACGACTCACAAGTCATCAGAATAAATGACCGTTACGACCACTTACTAGCCCAAAAGATTTGAGAGCAAGTAGAAGTAACTTAATCATAACAGAAATCGTAAAAGCCGACTCATAAGATGCCTTCTAGTAGATATTAATAACATAAGAATTTTTGGTCCTTCTTATGTTTTTCTTACGAGCCTCTTATGAAAATCTTATAAGATTCTTATAAGACACTTACGACTGTCGATGGGAAATCTTAAACAATCTTATATAAGAAACTGATAAGATTCTTATAAGAATCCTATCAGTTTTAGCAAAAAATTTTTGTCTAGGGAAGCGATGTATCATTGTTAGTTCGAGAACGGATATCTATCTAGCAAGAACACTGATTCCCCTTTCTTTGTGCTTCAAAGTTTGCATATAATAGAGACGAAGGAGCTGATCTCTGGATAATGTACGTTTGTTTAGACGTGACACAATTTCAATCTCTGGCGAATGAAATAATTCTTGAAGTCTTCGAGTACTTCGACGCTTATGATATTCTACACTCATTTCTTGGACTAAACCATCGTTTCGACAGGCTGCTAGACAGTCTTCACTTCGACTTGAACTTTCACGACGTCTGCCAATCCAGGTGTAACTTTATATGCGAACACTTTCCGTCCACGGCACGAGTTCGTTCTCTGTCTCTCGGCGAACTGACTTGCGAATATATGTTCTTCGACCGTTTTCCAACGAACATATGGGACAATCTTTGCTCCTTATCATTGGACAAAATTCCTCCAGAACAACTGATCAAAGCCGTGATGTCATACTTGCCCTGCATGACAACTCATGCAGACACATTCGACCGACTCCCTATCATACTGGCAAACCAGTTGAAAGAAAACCACACTCTCAAGGAACTTAATCTTTCGGATAATGTAATATCTGATATAGGAGGCGAAGCACTGGCTGAAGCACTGAAAGCGAACAAAACTCTCACGCAACTTAATGTTTCTCATAACCGAATATCTACTCGAGGAGCCCAAGCACTGGCTCAAGCATTGACAGTGAACAAAACGGTTACTCACCTTGATCTTGGATCTAACAAAATATCTGATATCGGAGCCGGAGCACTGGCAGAAGCCTTGAAGCTGAACAAAACTCTCATGCAACTTAGAATTTACTGTAACCAAATATCTGTTCGCGGAGGCGAAGCACTGGCTGAAGCACTGAAAGTGAATAAAACTATTACTCAACTTGATCTTCGAACGAACAAAATATCTGCTCGAGGAGGCCAAGCACTGGCTGAAGCACTGAAAGTGAACAACACTCTCACGCAACTTCATCTTTATCATAACCAACTATCTGACAACGGAGCCGAAGCACTGGCTGAAGCATTGAAAGTGAACAAAACTCTTACTAAACTTGATCTTCAAAGTAACCAGATATCTGCTCGAGGGGGCGAAGAACTGGCTCAAGCATTGAAAGTAAACAAAACTCTTACGCAACTTAATCTTTCTAATAACCGAATATCTACTAGAGGAGGCGAAGCACTGGCTGAAGCATTGAACATGAACAAAGCTCTTACTCAACTTAATGTTTCGGACAATCGAATATCCGTTAGTGGAGGCGAAGCACTGGCCGAAGCATTGAAAGTGAACAACACTCTCAGGCGACTTCATCTTCATCATAACCAAATATCTGATAAAGGAGCCGAAGCACTGGCTGAAGCACTGAGGGTGAACAAAACTCTTACTGAACTTGATCTTCGAAGCAACCAAATATACAAGGGAGGAGACAAAGCACTGGCTGAAGCACGAAAAGTGAACAACACTCTCACGCGACTTAATCGTCATTAAACCAAATATATGATCGAGGACGCGAGACACTGGCTGAGGCACTGAAGGTAAATAAAACTCTTACTCAACTTGATCTTCAAGTAACTAGATATCTGCTCAAGGGGGGAAGTACTGACTAAGCATCGAGCGTGAACAAAACTCTTACACAAGTTAATCTTTCTGACAACCGAATATCTGCTCGAGGAGGCGACGGACTGGCTGAAGCATTGAAAGTGAACAATGCTCTCAATCGACTTCATCTTTATCATAACCAAATATCTGATGAGGGCAGAATGCTAGTGCTTACTCTACACTATTTGCTAAATCAATAGTATTTCAACTATCAAGATCACTTGGATCAGAAAGTCAGTTAGAAATGCAGTTAGGAATCAAACTTCCTTAGTGAAAGCTTTTTTTGTTTTCTTAGCCAAAGATCCTGCCCACGAAATGTCCTACGATCTTGCGTTTGGCAAGAAACGCGTCACTTCTTTTTTTCGCATTTCTTGCGGACAATCCAAGAAATTTAATTTCTTGCATCAAAAAATATAAAATCAAATTTCTTGACCCAAGAAATGAGGAAAGAAATCTCCTTTCTTGCCTCACGAAGTCTTAGAAGCGCAAAAAATTTAACTTCTTGCCCAAGGAACGTGAATTTTGAAGAACGATAAAGAAAAACATGTATTTTGCGCTACTGTAGCCATCTGAAACAACTTTAACTTCTCAATAAAAATTATTAACAGGCTAGAAGTTTCTTTATGAAAGAAATTTAGCATATTAATTCAGGTACCGACCAAACGGCCGTTATCGAGATAAGTAGACTGCTAAAGAATGAATTCATAAAGTCATCACCGAGGTGTGAAAATGAATCGGTGACGAATTAACTCATAACCTGATATGTTCTCTGCGAACTCTAGTAACAATATTTAATTTTTTAGTAGGACATTTTTATTTCTCAAAGACATTCGCGTATAAAAAGACACAGGTCTGTAATAAAGGAAGTACAAACTGATGATCTAAAACTGAAAAAGAACGAAAAGACGATGATATTTCTTCGATATTTCGGTTGTGCTTATATACTTGACTGACAGCAAAACAAAACGGTAAATGATTAGTTGGGTTTTTCAACGGTTAAAAAAACATGAGAACGGAAAAATGAAACAAACGTTATGAAACGCATGGAACGGTTCAGGAGTTGCAGACTTGATCCCGAAACGCGTTTTAATTCGTTTTTAACGATCGAAAAACGCGTTAAATGTTCATCTGGAACACGTTACGGAACGCGTTCTAGAACATTTGAAAACGCGTTTTTTTGTGCCTGTGTAGGCTAATAATTAAAATTATAAGCACAATACTGCAAATACAACATGTTGACGGTAACAGAATGCCAATCATAGTTATTCAAGGAATCTAGAAATAAATATATTTCTGACTTAGACGCTTACTCATTGTTTTTAACGTGTTCGGACGCGTTAGTTTTGAAATTTTTGGGACGAATATGTTCGTCATTTACTTTTGTGTATCTATTGGAATTTTTTCTCCTTCAGAAGCGTTAGAACCGGTTAGATATAAAATCTTCCTATAAAATGGTTCTGATGCGTTCATTGTGTATTCTTACGTGTTTCAGCGCATTAGTAGATCACTCGAGCGCCTGTTATCGAGTGATAATTTTTCTCTATTGTCGTGACTCCATTGGTAACATGGAAGAATTGTATCAACAATTGTACAATTGTCGATTTTCCACATCCGATTGTATCTAATCCCGGAATAAATTCCAAACACAGAAAATATTTCTATTTGTTTAACACTATTTACTGACTAAGGCTGTTGCTAAAGAACAAACAAACAGTTCGTATCGAGTGTGCTTTCATTTACGTTAACTTACATACCCGATTTGTTCATATTAAAATTATTCAATATAATTTTTTCTGATCGTGTTGCATTCAACATCATTAAATTGGATAGAACCTGTGAAATTTGTCGACTCTGGTTTTTAAAGGATCCCCAAATTCAGTTTTATCTGATCAATAGAGCTAGCCGTTTAATAAGTCCAATGATTTGGGTGCTGATGCCTGCTTACCAAACGAAAAATCTAAAACCAGATCGCAAACCCAAAAGTTCTGAGTCGATTTTGGGTGTTGGTGTTCTCTCAAAGCGTTTCCCTCACAAACATGTGAGCCCTGTCTTTCTCCTTGTCTAACTTTTCACGAAGTATCCGAAAAGAATTTGACTAGTGTCTTTCCAATTACATGAGTCAAAACATTTTCGTTGAACCGATTTTTACGACTACTACACGTACAGACCTTCAACAGTTTCGTGCCTTCAATACCTGAATAGGGCAGCAAGTGGGCTTGTTTTTTCTAAATTAATATGAATGGTCGAACCTTTCATTTAGAATACCAGCAATCCACCGCATCAAAGAATATAGCATCACCTTCTGAAAAAGCAACGTAATTGTAGCGGTTGTGCCTGTCCTCAATGTGAGAAATGTCGTGATTCGTATTATGATGGTGATCGTGAGAATTGGAATGATGTTCGTAATTGCAACAATCGGACGAACGATGGTTGGAAGCGTTAATGGGATGGTGATGATTGATAGCGTTGGAAGCATCGTGATGGTACCACATGTAAATATCCTGGTCATTATTCTTATGCTGATTATGGTTTTCATGGTTCTCTTCATAGTTATGATGATTTAAGTATTTGTGTGGACAATAACTGAAAGTAATTGTGTTAATCTAAGATGTGATTGTCCGTTTGAATGAACATATACATTTCTTTTAATAATCGCGGTTCGCGAAATAAAACAATGAGACTAAGAGAAGCTAGTGATAGGCTTTGCTTTTGTTTCGTATATTGCAGTGGTTGCGGGCCGAAGGTCCCCAATCGGCGATAGCTTTGTTTTTGTTTTGTCGACTGAGGCATTCGTCCGGAACCCGGTTACAATTTCTCGGCCACTCGCCCATATCTTCCTCGTTTAGCAGGAGCAGATGAAAAGTAAAACCATGATATGCGACCGAAATTTCGGTGTTTTACAGATTTAAGTAGCTTTTTGAAGGGAATGGTATCTGAACTGAGCAAAGATGACGCTGTAAAAATGTTCAACGGATTCAAGCCTATCTCCTATGCTAGGGTACTTTCTCATATCCATATAGAGCAGACTTGACTGACTGGTATTGTGTAATAACTTGAATTCAACTTATTGGAATCCACCAGACGCACTCCACGTAGAATGCTAGTCAGTTTGGATACGTTAAACTGTACATCTATGTACTGGTGAACATCCTTGATATATAGTTTTCTCAAAGATTAATCGAAATCTTTAAGAATAGTTTCTCGTTAATGTGTTTATACAAGTTGCGTACACTTTAATAATATGTCTTTTCTTAAAATAAGCTCTCACCATTTTTTCTAGTACTAGAAATATTTTGAAAATCACAAAATGCTTATAGGCTCATACCTTGGCTAGGATAATGGGATAAGATGAGAACTATTAAATAGTCCCACTATGTTTACCATCATGTAAAACGCTTAAAAAATATATCACTTTATCAATCTCGGCACATTTCACGCTCTTATCGAGGCAAGCATATCCCTAAAGTCATCGCGAAACCGTTCATTGGTTGATGTTACTGCAGTTAGCTTCCGCTAAAATTTGAGCGAATAACTGTGTAGTAGTCATACATTATATCAACAGGACGCCATCGGTTACAATCGTACATAAAGTGACAATTCAGTTTTAAACTCGTCAAGTAGCAATCTACTGAGAAAAACTCTGTCAAACACAATAAGTGTTAAAGATGTTTGTCCAAACGAAACTGTTTTTTCAGTTTAATGACACATAAACTCTAACAAATGATTGAATATCCCGTCGACAAATAGGGCATGACCGAAGTGAATGACCACACGGGACACACGTTGCAACGTGACCACACGGCATACACGCTAACTGTTTTTCATCTGTTAAACATAATACACAAACATTTGAATTGGACGAAACTGCTGCTGTTTCACTCATCTTGTTGACTACGAAAATATTCATAGGTAAGAAGGATCAACAAAAAATCGCTAGTTTTGTTTCATACCAGTTAGTTCTGTATCGTATGATTTAATAAGTTCATTCGAAGGTACACATGTTTCTCGCTCTGTAAATAAAAAATGATTCGATTTAATCAGATTATATCAACCACATTTTGTTTAATTTACCTAGTTTAATTTTTTCTATGATTTCTTGAAGTTTTTTCGATGGAATAATAATATTGTCTCTTTTTCCATCAATTATTTCGATCTGCTTTTGAAGAATTAGACACGCCAGATAAAGATCACTGTCTGTGGAGAAATCATCAACTAAACAAATGTGATGTTAGCTAACAATGAATAGAAAATACGTTAAAAAATCTACGTTTTAATCTCAGTTGATCTTCGTAGCATCTTTTGATAATTGACATTCGAAATTTATCCATTAATCGTTGTGCTACAGGTAAATCTAATCGTGCAGCTACTAATTTGGATAAAAGAACATCATCTGGTATTTGTGTTTGTGAACTATTAGTCTCAGAGTGTGTTGAATTTTTCTTTTGTTGTTCGACTAAATATAGAAGTAAAAATTGAAATACCTTATGTTTAGTAACACACCATGATGATAGACAAACCATGTTGTGTAACACGTTTTGATTGTTGAATTTTATTGTATAACTCGTCGCCACAAAATTGTTTAATGTAAAGACAGTGTGGGAACCATCGCGCATGCTCAATTGTGGGATTATCTTTTACTCCCCAGTTTCTTAGAGATCCATTGCAATAGAAGCAGGTAACAGTTGCATTTGTGCCGGAATAGAAAAAGCCAGCTTTGGCTAAATCGTCTATGGCCGGTAAGGATTGATCTTTAGGCCACGTCGAAAATGATGTATGTCTCGTTGGTATTTCGCTATAACGTTGATTACGTTCTTGAATTGGAACAAGTTTAACGTTTGGTAGTACGTTCGATGTTTCATTGAGAATAACAGGAGATACTAAATTGGATGAAAGAAGGTTCGATTTGACGAAACAACAGTTAGGCGATAGTAGTCTGTGAGTTTCACGTGGATCATCCGTCCCGATCCACTGTTGGCATATCAAATGACAATAGATACAAATGACACGATCTCCCACGTTACAACCAAAGAAACCTGATTCAATCATTTGTGATCGAGCTGGCGTTTTGAGTGGCCAATGAGAAAATGTACGTTTTCGAATTTCATTAAGAGAAAATAGTTCAGTAAAAGTTCGCTCTTTTGTTATATCCGAAATGATTTGTTCTTCATGTTTCTTTCTCTTAGTATTCGCAGGCGACGATATTTCAATTGCTTGACGCTTACGATTGATAGTTTCCAGGTTGTTCATCGATAAAAGATTAACGGACGTTTATTTCATATCATCAAGTGCACTACTTAATATATTACGATAGACATTAAGTTTTTGTTACTAAATTTTGGTAACTAGATATGTGGAATTTTAAGTTTGTTGAGACAACCGAAAATGTTCGAAGTAAATAGTTTTTGTGTTTTTGTTATTTTTGATTTTTCACTATGAAGGAAGCATTTCCGAACACTGCATCTAGAGAAAAAAGTATTGAAAACTAAATTTTCTGTATTATTATCAGTGGATTCAACTCTGACAAATGCTTCCTTCATGGAGACTAATCCTAATTACACTAATCTAATTAAACTTCTTTAAGTTCAATTCATTAATTAATCAGAAGAGAACGAAAAATATTTATTTTTAGTAGTGTGTTTCTGTGGTACAGTGGCGTACGTAGGAGATCATTGATCTTTATATATACCAGAGTTCGAATCGCCGCACGAACTTCTTTTCGTTTTGTTTCCTTCAGTTTTTCATTCTATTTATATCCACTACAACTAGTCCTGAAGTGGGTTAGCGGTAGAGCGCTGCGGGATTGAATTTTTTCTTCCCGATCCCGAAAAATTATTTTCGCCAATTCCTATCCCGATCCCGTCCCGTAGGCATAATTACAATCCCGTTAAATCCCGAAATTTTTTTCGCTAAAATACAAACAACTGTCGCTCGTGTGCGACAGGCTGAAAGAAAGAATCTGATTGACTGTCGTATGAGGACGACAGTTTCTTGTGTGTGTTTAATTGTTTACTGTATCGGTGAAAGAAGTTATCTGCTAATAATAGCTACCGATAGCAGATAACTTCAGCATTCGTTGAAAGCTAGCTGGCCACCAAAAGTAAGATATGTAAAAAGCTCAGTATGGCCTCTCTAACCAATAGAAGAGTGTGTGGAAGTCTATGTTTTCTCTTTTTTACGTTACACTAGTAGAAAAAAACAAGTAGCGTTCATCATTCTGATTCACTTATCCCTTGACTGGAAAGGAATCACCAATAGGAAATTATTTCTATAGAATATTATAATTATCTTTCTCGTCCACATTACATTGAGGGCTGCGCGA